TTTTTTTTTTTTCCTGTTATTTAATTTAATCCATTCAATAACTCTGTGAGGCAGGTAGAATTGAATTGTCCCTGTTGTTACAGGCAAAGGAATTGAAACCCAGATAAATCAAGCAACTTTATCTAGGTCCCTACGGAGTGGTAGAGGGGGACTTGAACCCAGCTTCACCTCCAATGCCTATGTCAGTAGACCAATATTGAGTCTTCATGTGGATAAAGCATATATTTAAAAAAAAAAAAAAAAAAAGACAAGAATTAGGGGGTTTTAATTTTGCCTCTTGTGTCTCAAGAGTTGGGGGTGATGATAAACTTTCCAGCAGTTTTCTTCAGGGTTTGAGGTCCTAGCACTTGTCTTCTGTCTTGAAGTTCACATTAGAGGGCTGATTCTGCCTCTTTAGTAGCACAGTGACTCCCGTAGTCAAGAAGGTGGGGCTCTAGGAAGAAGAAACCAGTCAAGGCAAGCCTGGAGACTACAACTGATGCTCTTCCCTTTTCTTGGTACACTCGAACCACTTGTTCTCAGGTTACAGCTTGGCACTTTTTAGCAACACTTACAGCATTATATCAAGGGAAGATGATCTGTGTGGGGTTTTGAGTGATGTGCACACATTGCTGGAAGAAAGCCTTGTGTTAGAATCTGATAGCTTGGTGGCACAGGTTGAGATAGATTCAGGCACTTCAAGGTCAGCCCCAGTCCAGATGAGGGGCCTTCAGGACAAACGGGAAGGGACTTCCTCGAGGACCCTTGCGCAGTTCATCAGACAGTGTTAGTCAAACATAGAGTGGGAGAGAATCAGTTTGCTTCTAGAGGTAAAGAAAATACAGTAACCTTACAGAACCAGTTTTGTAGAAGCCATAGCTGGCTGTCTAAATAGCACTGTTCAATAGAAATCAAATGTGCGCCACATATGTAACTAAATTTTCCAGTAGCCACATTAATGTAAATGTAAAAAAACAGTAAAAAGAACATGTGAAATTAGTTTGAGTAATATATTTTATTTAACCCAATACATCCAAAATATTATTTCAACATTTTATTAATGTAATAAAATTACTAATGTGCTCTTTTACATTCTTCTCATTGCTAAGTGTTTGGAAATTGGCATATATTTTACACTTATAGTCTGGCCACATTTCCCAGTAAGCACTGGGCTGCATAGCCAGTTGGATAGTGCTGGTCTAGACCAGCAATGGTATTTCAGCCACGGAAACCAGATTCCAGCAGAGAGAAGTGGGCTCTAGGAAAGTGACTCTAGCCTTGAGGAGGTTGTGTCTGCTGGACTGGCTGGTCATATGGGACCACCCAGAGATGCTGAGAGCTTCCAAGGTTGGCTCAGGAGTCAGAGCCATAAGGTGGGTGTTCAGCCTAGTCTTGTTCCAAAATCATGGCCACTTGGGTATATTAAAGTCCAGGCTTATCATTCTGGATCTCTTAATGTCAGAGGCCTTTCGAGGTCTGTGTGAAGCATGGGGAGGTGAAGGCACACTTGATGTTCACTTCCATTGACTGTCGCTGCTATGGTAGACAGTGTGCTTGTCCACATGACTGACCCCTTTCTGGCCTCCCATCATGTATTGGCAGGGGCTGGGAGAACAGAGCAAAGCTGATGGTGACCAAAATGCGATAGGACAGGTCTGGGACCGCTCTCTCAAATGCTCATGGAGGCAGCCAGGCCATATAAATGAGTAAGGCAAGCCTAGTGAAAGTGACATAAGGGTGTGGTGGGGTCCTGGGAACGTGAGAGCCTGTCTTGTCTAAAGGCAGCAGCTGCTTCAGCTCCCAACAGTTGTTGATATACAAAGCATGACCCAGTCTCG